TTTTGAACATCAATTGCTGATTAACCCAAACAAAACTCAATTTCTCCTTATCGGTTCGAGATCCATGTTACAGAATTTACCTGAAAAATATATCTTTAAATTTCTTTGGTCAAATACGTCGGCTAAGAACATCAAAAAGTTACAAACAGTTCAAAATTATGGAATACAGGACTTGCGTAATCTAGGATTGGTCTTATGCACGTTGTAAAGAATAGGACAAGTTCTTTCTTGCCAACTTTAATTAGCTCTCTTAAGTTAGGAGAGAAAATAGAGACGCTTTTGCGCCTTCGATATAATTTGGTCAATGTGATTGTTCCATTTCAAGTTGTTAGAAATGCTCAGACCAAGGATTTTAGCACTGTCGACCACTTCCAAGATTTCTCCATTCACTATATTAATAGGGTCAAACATTGCTCTTGGTTTGCAGAATCCGATTCGCTTTTCCGTTTCGTGGGTCTCAAGTCCCGGGAGATCGTATAAAATTTCGCCTTTTGGTTAGTTGGTCTCTTCAAAGGTTGAATTTTGATAAATGATCGGACAGACCAAAAGGTGGACGTTTAGTTGGTTCATCATAAAACTGTTTCATGTTGTAAGTACCAGGTCAGGGACACTAGAGCCACGAGTTGGAAACTTGACGATTTGGCATAGTTTGAAACTGTTTTTCAGTCTGGAAAGGTTTAGTTTATTGAAGTCTCCAAGGATTATTATGCCACAATTGGTGAATCGTGCCTCAAATGTTGTTAAATTAAGCCTTGTAGTTAATTACATCCCGATCGTTTCCTTTAGGGGGATGGTAAAGATTGCATAATATAATACATGAGATACCTCTTGGGAAACGTAAAGGTTTCAGCTTTAGCTAAATGGCTTCGAAATCGTTGCTCACAAGCTCCGATAAAATATTCAGGTACTTTATAGCATTTTTAACGTAGACACAGACGCCACCGTGTTTGCCGTGATATCTATCGCGTACAATGTTGTAACCTGAGATTTCGACGACATTATCGTATATGTCATTTTGGAGCTATGACTCCATTTACAGATGAGATCTACATCAATTTGTTTAGACACCTCACTGCGAAGTTCATCTATTTTATGAGCGAGAGACATCACGTTGGCCAACAAGATCGAAGGAACAAATAGGTTTGGAGACCTAGGCTGTCAATTTGGGTCTGCATAAAGTGCGAGGCACCGAAAACTCGCGAATGACCTGAACATAGCAGTGTACAATGTCAATGCATATTTCGCAGAAACGTTTGTATTGGATCAAATATATTTGTACGAGTATGTTATACCGTAATAAGTTTAAAGCTTATATGTGATGCTGAAAACAATGTTTTCTGTTTAATTAAGGTACGGAATAAACCGTTATACAAGCAAAGTTAATTAAAAGAAGGAAACAAGCCCAAAATTTCGAACACAAAATGGCCGCTTCCCAAATTGTTGCTAAATAAAGTTTACCGCGTTAAAAAGCCGGCGAATAAAAAAGCACACACAAAAGAATCCGAATGTCGTTGAAATCTTTAAAATATCTGAAACATAAAGATGCAAACCATTTCTATCATCTAGTGTACATAGACAACAGTTTAGATTAAAATTTAATCGAAAAACTCGATTAAAAAGGCTGAAAAAGGCAGGGGCGCCGGAGCCACGGGGGCAGCGGGGGCAACTGCCCCCGTTGCCTGAACAGTGTGGGGGCAGCACGGGGGCAACAGGTTGCCCTTTTTGCCGGAACCACACTTCGAAATTAGTGCGTTATTCACAAGAATTGGAATTTATAACTATTTTTAAGCAATGTTTCAGTAATGTTTAAGCAATCTTTACTTAATTGTTAACCAGTTACAGTAAAATTAATGCTAAATCAAGTAAGATACGTCCGTTTACTGATTTTATTTTGCACTTTAGCAGGGTTTAAAATAGCCGCCGGCTTCATGGATCTGTGGTCAATGCTCCGGAAGATAAAGCTGGAGGAAGCAAGGGAACTGTGGGCACTGATCGAGCTGTGTCTCTGCTGCCCGTACGGCAATGCATGCAGTCAAATCTGGCTGCCGCAACAGGTTGAACGAACGCAACTTGACTGATTTAATGTGCAATAAAGTGACAGGTCCAACCCTGCACGTTTTCCGTGAGCGTTTTTGTGAGCTTGCTGTGGACCTCTGGAATAGTGATAAATCACGGAGGAAGACCGAAGGGAACCGAAAGCAATATGCTGCAAGAGGAAACGCATCAAAAAGGACAAGGGGGAAGAATTCCTTAGAGATTGGTTGAAAGTCGTTGGAGCTGTGGGCGAACAGGAATCGGAGAGTGAGGAAAATGAAGAGGAGATGGAAGCTGATTTATCGAGAAAGTTGCCACAGAACCGGTCAAGAAATCCCACTATAGTTACTTCTGCTCAGTGGGAGTTGTCGGACAGCTCCGAAGACAGTGGTCGTGAAGACCCGTTCCTGGGCGGAATGAGTAGCAGTGACTCTGAGTTACTGTGACTGGTGATTCCAACTAAACTATAGTACTCTAGTGTTCTATAGTGGGTCAAGTGAGAAGAATCCAAAATGAACTGAGCACCATATTTTGTAAACTGCGACGGATTTTTAGTCGTTTACGACGAATATATTTAACTTCCCTACAAAAAGTTTAAGTTCGGTTCTATTAAGCTATAGAAACAATTTTCTTCTTGTTTTGAGCTGATTCACATAGAACTTGTTAATGTTTGTTCCTACCCCAAATAAAATGTATTGCTGTGTTCTTACAAATGTTGTGATCACTATTATTTGGCCTATGCCCACTCCAGAACATAACTAAACTTTGCTTGGAAAAAACCGGCAAAAATTTCACCTAAAAAATTTGACATGTTTTCAGAACGTTATTTCGAACCCTGTTTAGCACGGTGCAACGAATAAAATTGTTCAAATTAATGTCGAAGTTTGCCGACCCATGATAATAGCCACAAGTAATCGAGTATAGTAAAGTTTTAACAAATATTGCCGCTCAGAAAATTTATGGCTGAGAAGCAAGTGCCCTTTTGAATCGGCTGCCCCCGCCGCTTCACATTGCTTCCGGCGCCCCTGAAGCTTTTCTTATCTCAAAAGACTTATACACCAAAATAATTACCTCGTTCTATGGAAATATTATGGATATTTTAAAATCCTATAACTGCAACTCACAATCAATCACGATTCAAAGACTAAGCTTTATCAATGACAAATAAAGCAAAAATATCTTACTTTCTGGAAACACAAACTCAAAAACTCTTCCAAACTAAAGTTTTACAACACGTTCAAAACAGAATACCAACTAGAAAAATATCTTTCAACAATAAAAAATCCAATCGAAAGGAAACACTCACAAAATTTCGAGTGAGCAACCACAAATTAATGAGGTCGCTATAAAAAAATACCAAGGGAAGAACGACTGTGTGGAATCTGCCAGTCAGGGGAAGTGGAAGATGAATACCATTTTGCCAATTCGTGTGAAGCCTACAGCAACCAAAGAGAGAATTTTTACATCACTCTCAGGAACAAGTTAACCATTATCACAGATTAGACACAATTAATAGGCTAGATATAATGAAGTCTACAGAACACGGGATTATTTTATCTCTGTCGAAATAGATTTATTCCTGTTTTACGGAAAGAAATAGATGCCTCCAAATTGGGATTGCTGTCAATTAATTATTAACATAATATTTCTCTAATCTGAGAAAGTTGAATGAAAATTTTTCCTATATCTTGTAAATAGATCTTATATTTGGTATTTGTTATTTGTTATTGGGATTGACTGTAGTTATTGTAATGCATGTACTTCTTACCATCTGTAAACTTAGAATTTCTACCTTTTTTACTATATTTAGATTATTTATATTTAGATTATTATGCTTTAGCAATACCTGTAAGTTAAGGTCATGCCAATAAAGCTATTATATTAAGCTAATTGTGAAATCGTGTTCTGCATTACTCACTTCTTTTGAAATCGATTGTTTTTACGGTCTGTAGACATGAATATATGAATATGAGTCCCCCCCCCCCAATTATCGATCTTCCCTACGACCTTGATTATTATATATCTATGTAATTAGTGTTTAATTTTTTGTTCAAATCTAGGAATTTATCAGCGTTTAGTGCCACCATTTTGAAATAAAGTTTTCTATCTATCTACTATCTCAATGCATGAATGCATTGCCTGGAAATTTTGTATTGCTTACCAATTCATGCAACTGCATTGCACTGGTTGAAAAACCTGTGCGGATTGATACCTTTGAATACAATAGGTAAGTTAACGGGAAAGGAATAAGACATTAACTGTTATGATTCGAAGAATAGATTATCCCCTGCCAACGGCACTGGTTGAAAAACCTGTGCGGATTGATACCTTTGAATACTATTGGTAAGTTAACGGGAAAGGAATAAGACATTAACTGTTATGATTCGAAGAATAGATTATCCCCTGCCAACGGCACAGAGCGCCGTTCCAGGTCAAATGTCAATAATAGAACAGGAAAATTCATCGCGTATCGTGGCGTAACGTTTCGTGGTCGACGATAATCTCAACATTTCAAGGAAAAGCTATTAGCTATTACTTGACTTTGTCCGGCTTCACTGTGCAAGTTAACGTATAATGATACAAAGATGAATTTGTATTTATTTGTATTTAAAAAAGAACCTCTGTTAGCTAACGCTAGTTTACACGAGGTCTTAAATATAGGATTACACTACAAGATAAAAAGTCTATATAAATCTAGGTATTCGTAAAAATTACTAAAGTACGTTAAAAGTTCAAATAGTCAATTATAATTATATAAACCAGTCTAGCTGTTTAAGAACAGCAGACTTAAACATAGATTTCGAAGATATGAGCTTAATAGTACAGTCTAAATTGTTCCATAGATCGATAGCTCGAGTTCTAAAAGCCCGAGCTAAAAAGGTTTTCTTCTTTAACATAGGTTTCTCTAACAACATATTATCACTTCGACACCTCGACGAAAATCTTGTATTGTGTTCATGCGTTTTTTACCGTTCAAATGGTTTAAAATTCACGTAAATAGCATTTGGTTCACCAGAACAAAGTACATTATGCAATGCCATTAAGGTTCTGACATGAATCCTTTGTCTCACTGTTAACCAACCTATTTCATCATGGAGATTTTCCCTAGATATTTCATCAACCTTATATCCTAGGATCAATCTGGCGGCCTTGTTCTGAAGTTTTTGTAAATTATTAATCGACTCTTGATTTTGCGCAGATCCCCAAACCGTACAACAATAGTTCAATTTTGACAGTATGTGTGCCTCAGCGATAATCTTTAAAACTTTTGATGGAATATATCTGCTGAACTTGAACAGTAAGCCAAGAGCTTTGGAACAATCTTTAAGTAGATCTTCACAATGCTGTTTCCAACTTAAGTTCTCGTCAACCTGGACGCCAAGGAGTTTTACACATGGAAGTTGTTCAATGATTTTATCTTTAATGGATAAGTTAAGCGATGGAGCTGATTTAATCTTCTGCCGACTTCCAATAAGGATACTATTTGTTTTATCAGCATTAAGAACAAGACGATTCTTCGAGACCCATAATTCAACTTTAGATAAGTCAAGTTGAAGTTTATCTGATATGAGTCTGGCGTTATGTCCAGATTGGAACGGAGTGCTATCATCGGCGTACAAGGTGATATCAGCTGTAGTTAAGACTGTTGGTAAATCATTAACAAACAAACTGAAGAGCAGTGGGCCAAGACAACTACCCTGTGGCACCCCACAAGTCATCTCGATCGGATTAGAAAAAGCACCATTGATATATACGGTTGAGGTTCTCCCACTTAAATACGACTTGATCCAGTTAATCGCATTATCTGAAAAGTTATAACATTTCAATTTCAGAAGCAGCAAATTATGATCAATCAGGTCGAAAGCAGCTGAAAAGTCCAACAAAGCAGCACCAGTAAGCATACCATTCTCCATGTTGTCAAGGCAACTGTCAGTCAGATGTAAAAGTGCTGATTCAGTGCTATGATTGATTCTATAGGCATGTTGATTCTTGAGCATTAAGTTATGTTCGGAGACATAGTGACAGATTTGTTTATGCGCAAATTTTTCGTGCAGTTTACTTAATACATTTAGAAGACTGATGGGTCGACTATTTATATCTTCAAAAGGCTGTTTCTTATCTTTGGGAATCGGGTGTAGTTTAGCTACTTTCCATTGATCAGGAAATATTGACTTCGTATATGAACAGTTAAAAATGTATCTAATAGGTTCCGCTATGATATTTGACGCAATTCTAAGTAAAAAATTATCAATGCCGTCTACGCCTGTCACTTTAGTATCTGGAAGCTTAGCAAGGCAGCTGTGAACTTCTAAAAGACTTAAAGATGTGAACTCAAACCGACAGTTTTTTCCAGTCATTATTTCGGTAATTGATTTAGTTATATACTCCGTATCTATCGGGTTGGACATCTCAAATCTATATTTCTTTATTTTTTCATTAAAGAACTTTGCGAAATGATTGGCAATATCTTTAGGTTTTGTGTAAATTTCACCATTACTCTCCGCATAAGTTGGTATTGGACAATTTGAGCATCCTAATAGATTGTTTATTGTTTTCCACATTGACTTTGGATCTTTTTTGGTATTATTAATGGCTTCAAGAAAATATGCTCTTTTGCTTTCTCTGTTGACCTTAACGACATGGTTTCTCAATTTCCTAAAACCGCCCAGTCAGAAGGAAAACCAGAGACCCTCGCCTCACGTTTTGCTGCATCTCTCATGCCCACAACTATTGGCATGATAAATAATAACTTTTACAACGTGCTTTTACTAATGTCTTACGACACTTGCATCACCGACTGCAGAACAGTTTGTAAAATGATACTACGTGTACATCTATTACAATACCGGGCAACTCAATCTGGCTAGCCAGGCCCACTGTAACTATGATCATCAACTATCAACCGTAAATAATGATGCGCCAATAATAGCGAATAAATTATAATATTATACCTCAACTTCAAATTGTCCAATCAGGAAGCTTAGTTTTTTGCACGTGAGCATGAAATTAATCGCGATGTCACTAGGGGCCGCGGAACCGGGGGGAATGGGGGCATTGTGCCCCCCCCCCCCCCACATTTTTGAAAGTGAAAAAAGTGCCACTTTTTCTGGGCTGAAGTGCCCCATTTAAAGAACGAAAAAAGTATTTCTTGAATGAACGCCCTCTTTTGCTGGAAAGAAAGTGCCCTTTTCGTAGTAGTAAAGACTCTGTAAATGCCATTTCGGACGTTATAGAGACTCCGCGGTCTTTTCAAAATTTTCGTTCGGCCCGTGAACGACACAAAATCGTTTGATTTTGGTCATATACCAAAGTGCCCCTTTTGGCCAATGCCCCCCCCCTCTCCCACTTTCGGAATGCTTCCGCGGCCTCTGGATGTCACGCCTTACGTCATAAATTAGCGAGCCTGCGTTCCTTTTGACAATATTCTACCCCATGTTTGCCGGGGAACAGGGGCGGTGGGGGGGGGGGGGGGG